TACATTAGATGTTATCCTGCAGCTAATCCAGCCAGAGCAGGATTACTCTGATGAAATGCTCTCATCAAAGGAAAAGCTGCATCTAGGAGTGGTAATTTCAAAGAATTCCAGACATTGTTTTGTGATCGTGGGAGGCTGGAGCAAAATGGGTAGTGCACGTTTCAGCTATCCCACTCTGTTTAATTAGGTGCCACAGCCTAAGCCTTGGCGTTTCAGGTAACGAGCGCCGTGTTTGCTCACAGCACACTGTGTTCCTGCAGAGAGAGGTCTCATGCAAAACTGAAGACAAAATCAGTCCCTGAACACAAACTGTTGAGAAATGCCCCCAAAAGTGAGGCACCAATGAAAATACACCAGAGTGCTGCATTGCTTTGCTGCAGTTGCCATCATAATATGTTATGTGTTGAAGAAACACGATGTCCCTGTTAACAGTGGACAAACATAGATATCACAAGTATAGGAAACCATTCAAAATCCAGGAAACAATGGCAGCAGTAGGTCAAAGCAAAAGCCCACCAGTTTTTCTAGGTGGCAGTGATTTAAGCATGTATTTTCTAAACCTGCAAGAGGTTTGTATAGTCATGAACAGGTTGGGTTTTTGTTTTTTTTTTTTTTTAAAATTCTTCCAGTTCCACTTAAAACTCGTGTAAACTTTTTGCATTCCCCACACCAAGGATGTGTGCAAGGACTCACACAATTCAACTACCTGTTGCAGGAAGAGCAGCCTTTTTAACCTGCATCTGCCTCTTGCTGGTTTCACTGATGCCCCTATTCTTGCACTTCTGGAGAGGCAGCAAGCATTACTGCTCCCTTTGCCACCAACTAGTTTATACGTTCCAGTCTATACCTCATTCAGCTCTTTTTTCTGGGATAGACAATCCTACCCTCTTGACGCTTTTCTCCCCAAGAAGCTCTCCCATACCTCTCATCACCTTTATGACTTTTTCCCACATTTTCCCCATTTTTCTGGTCCCTCAGTATGTCTCCTACAGCTGGGAATTGCAAAAGTGCAGGGCAGGTGCCTTTTTGAGAGGCCAGTGAGAAATAGAGGCTCTCTGGCAGCAGGAGGGAAGGCACCATGTGGCTTGGGAAAAGTCCCAAACAAAATTTAACCATAACCTGGGATCCGAATAGGCATTTGTCATTGGCTTTGCTAAAGATCTCTGAAGCTTCTGCCACTCCCTCGTCACAGCCTGTCCAGAGCTGCCTGATGGCGGAAGAGGTAGAGCCACAGGGAAAAGCAGGATGCTTCCTAGTTGTAGCCAAAGTTTTGGTTTCACACAAGTATGGAGAAAAGCCAACACCAAACCACAGAAACTTTTATGAATCTGAAATTTTATGGTGACAAAAACTCAGGAAACTCTGAGCATAAAAATATAATAGATCAACCCCTCCTCAAATGCCCAGTAACAGACTCTCATGCATGAGGATGCCCTGACCTGTCTTAAACGCACTGAAACTGCTGTACCTCAGCACCTACTCAGGGATCAGGCAGTGTGCACTCACGCCCTGTTAGGACATCTGTCTAATCTGCCAGGGGTTGATTAGCATGATACTTACTCCTACCGAGAGAGGAATCTCCGTTAAATGGGTTTAGAACAGTGTCCTTATTTACACTCAAAAGTTTGTTATCTACTGAAGACCAAATCAAAAAAATTAAAAGCTCAACAGTAAGTGTTTCTTGACAATGACTGCCTAAATTCCCAACACCTGTTTTGGATTTTTTTTTTCCCTTTGCCACTCACATAGTCTCATCCCTCTTTGTATCAGCTTCCATTTGTTGCTGTCCCTTTGCCTCTGGGAAAGCAGCGGCAGCTTTTGGGAGGGCTGTTGTGGCAGAGCTCATTGCTGGGTTGTGGCAGTCACAGCAGGGCTCCAGCTTCCTCCACCAGATTAAAGCTTTTGCACCCGTCCGGAGGGATGCTCCGAGGCTGAGCATGCAACTACAGAGGAGGGGGTTCCCTCCAGGCCTCCCACAGACCCCTCGGGTTGTGCCTTAGCATGGCCGATTCCCAGCTCCCCACCAGCCCCGTGGCCACAGGACGCACCGCTGGGGCTCCCAGCTGCACAGGGCGAGGGGTGCGAGCTCACATCTGGAGATGGTAAGAGGAAAGACCCAGTTCTTGCAGTCTCAGGTTTCACATTTGTAAGATTTGCAATCTCTTTAAAAATAAAAGCAGAGCACATGTTCTGTGTGCATGGGAATTGCTCTATATTCTTCTGCAAATTTTCTACTGCATACAAAGATGAGCCTTAATTTTTGTCCCACAAAATCATGTTCACATCTTTCAAAAAATCACCATTTCTTTTTTGCAGTGTAGCAGTTTCCCAGCACTTAACCTCATTTGGGCAGATTTGCCAGAGTCATCTAGGAAAAGGAAGAAAGGATCTCTCCTCTCAACCGGTCTGACTCCAAACCAAACTGTCCTTGGCAGGGAAGAGAAATTACACAATATCCATGCAAATACTTATTTAGCGGGCACAGCAAGACATAAACACAAGGAAACAGTTCCCTGACATTTGTCTCAGCTCTGAGACTCTACTTTCCAAGCCTTCAATTTCTCTTATGAGAGAAACTTTGAGGATTGTGGCATATTGAGAAATCATTAAACAAGTTTCTCTCACCAAAAAGTTTTGGCTGATGACATGAACGTTAGCCAAGTGAGGGAGAGCTCGGATTTGGGTGGTAAATTTGTGCCTTTCTCTCACTTGGAAATCAGCTCCCTAGCTATGAGATTTGTCAGAGTGCATTACCATCTTGAACATATTTATTTCGACCGAGGTAAGTGGATGCATTATATACAAATACTCTACCAGCACTGAGGAGTTGTGGGGATGGGTGTCAGTATTTTGTCTTTACAGATGTACAAAAGTCAGGAGAGAGAGACAGGCCAGTGGTTATTACCTCCAAGCCTGTAATTCATCACATGCTTTGCACACCGGAATGCTTCAGCATAGATTAATAAAATGCCTATTATTTGATTTGAGAGCTCCCTTTCAGTGTTAGGTTTGAAAATGACCCTGTTATATATAAACCAGTCTCTTACCTTCCCTAGTAACAACGTGGGTGCAGAATACAGTCTCTATGCAAGGAATTGATTGTATTACTTGCATTCTTAATTATTGGTTTGGTTTGTTTTTTGTTAAACTGAGAGTCACTGACTATAAAAGCCTTCCACAGATTTGGTCTTAAAAATGATCCCGTACATTAAAAGACACATTTTACATCTTTGGTTCTAATCTTCTGATTCCACGTAGGAGTGCTTCTCATCTGCTCCTCACTGCTTGCTGTGCAGTGAGATACGGCAATAGTTACCGCTCTATTAAGTAACATTGCTATGCATCATCAGTTCCAGTCAGTTAAAACAATACAGTATTTTGAGCAGTACAATAGCCTGAGTGAGTTATTTGGAAAACACAGGTGTATGGTAAGAACACCATCCATTTGGAACTGCAGCAATGGGAACACAATGACAAACTGAAAGCAATCCAAAAAGCCTCAATGCATGAATTAAACAAGAATTGCACACAATAAACTTAGCTAAGTATCTTTTACTCCTTACTGCTTAAATGCTATAAGAATTAAAAGTGAATATACCACTAGGGATGAAGAAAGAGATTAACTAAAGAAGCACAAGAAAATTGAACCCAGTCACTTGTTTTCCTACACAGAAAAAACTGCAGCTCTGATGCAAGTGAATCGGGACTCACAAAAACGCCTTCAGGACGCTGTCGTTCTCTTCAATAACCCAAGACCTTCCTGTTTCTGAATGTCACCTGGGAACCAAATCCTGTCATGGCCTCTGGAAACCTGCAGTTCCTGGTGCAATTCACACAGACTCTTGCACATCCAAACTGGGTGAGGTCTAACCTAACAGGGGGTGTTGGTAGTAAGGAGGGAAGCAGTTGCCAAAGGAGTTTTAAATACTTGGGGACCACTGAAGCCACATCAAACCTGCCCAGCACCAAGGACTGAGCTGGGACAGGCAGGTTGCTAGTGCCCATAGCTCAGGAGATGTATTTAGAGGCACTGAACACAGAGGGCTTCATTGCTGCTCACAGATTTCATGTCACTCTGCAGGGCGATACAGATGAAATCTCAGCTGCAAAGTACTTACTTAATACTAATAAACATGTTGAGTCCAATGCAGCACCCTCTTTATTCAGGACAAAAGTAATCTGTTGTATGTACTGAATGTCATGACTGAAATATTATTTTAAAACAAACAAACAAACAAACAAACAAACAAACCCAAACAAAAAAAACGCTCTGAAAATACTTCTTTCCAGGCTAAGGGTCCACTATCAATGTAAACCAACAATTTCAGAGCTGAATTCATATCAGAATTTAATAAAACAACAACAACAAACTCAATCCTTCTGCCGCTCACTTCACTATCAGCTGTTTCTTCCAAAGTGTTTTGATATTTGACTCTTTTCTCTTTTGTCCAATATTTCATTCTTCAGTTACAATAGTAAAACAATTCTCCACTTTATAGAAGCAGCAGCAAAAGGACTATTCCAGGAAAGTGGAGGTAATTTGATTAAAAAATTGGGAGTTACAAATTCAGTAAAAGTTAGAGGATTATCAGCAATAGCTCAAAGAATTTTTGAAAGCATTCTTAATTGTAAAGCAGAAATTATTGTTAGTGGGATAATAAGAAAATTATCTGAAAGGATTAATTTTCAGACAGATGAAATAAAAGGAAGAGTCTTAAGTTAAGTATCACTGCAATACAAAAATGCACAAATACCTTCTTCAACATCTGACAAATATTCAGCATCACTGAGTATTTCAGGGGCATTGGCTTTACGAACTGCATGATTTAAATAAACAAAATAATTAAATAAAAGCACAGACTATCAATTTGTCAACAAAAAAATCAATGTAAAACAATAATGAATGTGCAAAGACCATATCCAACTAATACTGTTCAGTTGGTTTTTTTAAACAAACATTTCTTATAACAACAAAAGACTGAAAAGTAAGCGAGCATTTTTTTTTTATTATTTTTTAATACCTTCATCATCAGACATATCAAGAACTTCATTCATGGTTTCGGGTACATTCATTTTGTGCTTTTCTGTAACAGTCTGTCAAAGAAAAAAAATAATTTCAGAGTGCAGACATAACCTTTTGTAAAATTATAGTTATTTTAAAAATTAAATGCAAGGTAGGACATTTTTATCTACAGTTAGCAAAACAAGATTTACTTTTTTAGCTTCTTATTCACTTTCCTTTTTATAGATGTATTGAACTATACATTAAAAAAGACTACACAAATAGGCAATATTGTATTTGTGTTTTAAACTATATTCACATTTTCACAGCAGAAAAAGCATGAGCTGAAAGCCTAGAAGATGATGATATCAAAAGAAGAAACAAATACACTGAAAAGAGTGTCATGTTAAGGAGTTTAATAAGATCTCTTTAAATTGTCATCTAAATTTTGAGCAAGAATATGTCATCTCTATTTAAACTAAACTTTCTGGGGAAGTATTTCTCCTTTGTCATTAGAAAAATGATGCAATTTGGAAACAGGCTTAATCCATGTGAATTTTTTCAGAGGTGCCTCGGCATGAATTGTGTGTTTTTCCCACAAATGAGAACAATTGTAACCACATGCAGGCTAAATGATACGCCTTAAGGAATTTGTGCAAGAAAGACACTCAGAAGTGGTTGGTTGATTTTCATCCTGATGTTTATATTGATTCAGACTCAAAGACCAATATGAAAAAAAAAATTTAGAAGCAGAAAAAAAAAAGTTACAAATGCCTGAAATCTCTTCTTAGAATGCCTGTGTATCCCACAAATGAAACACACACACATATTTTACTCTCCAGCTGGGGTACAGCACAAGCACTGATAAAGTTTTAGGTCACGCAGGAGACCCTGCAGAGGTTATCATTCAAGGAGTGCAGTGGAATTTAAAAAAAAAACTAAAACAAAAACAACACTCCCATCTTTATGAGGTTTTATAGTATTTTTAACCACCGTTACTTCTCATCCTTCATATACAAATAAGAAATCATTAACAAGTTCAGGAGGACAAAATAGCTTTTCCATTTTCATTTATTTTAAAATATTTCAGTTTTTCTCTGGCCTCATGAATACTCATTTGGCAGTTCGTGTTTCTTGGGCTACTGCCATCATTTGATATAGGCAGAAGAGGTCCTGCATGCTCAAACATCACAAAGCTTATAAAAAGCCTCACACTTATTTCATTTTGTGGGAATTACTTGCAAAGCTTTTTGACACATTGCTGTTAAACTAGCAAAATCACGAGACTTTTTTTTCAGGCACTACTGGATTTTTTTATTGGTATTTGAGTTTAAATTATAGTAAAATTAGGTATGTTCATCCCTGGTTTCATTAAATTTACCCTTTGGGAGTTGTTTAGCCACAAGCCTCAAAAAATCTCAGCAGTCAAACTGAGTTTTTAAGACCCTCAGTTGTAAATCAGATTTCATGTCTAGACTTCCAAAGTCTGACAATTACACACTTGTGACTGATAAGCAGCATATTCTGATTTTAATGGAAATTATTTCTGAGCTTCTCTTGAGAGTAGGTATTTGGGCAGTACAGGCCTTTTCCGCATCTAACATTTCTTCTAGCACAATTCACAGCCTGACCCACCATCTCTCTACTCTTCTTCGTCTACAAAACATAAATGATCGGTCATATTACGCAGCACAAACTCCCCCAGCTTCTTGGTTCTTCAAGCTAAGAATGACCTTGTGATAGCGGGAGTTCTTAGCATAAAAATGTGGATTTACTTTTCCTGCAGCTACCTAGTTGTATACTAGGCAATCATTCAAGTTCATGCTACCCCACATAATCTTCTCCACCAAATTTTTCAGGTTGTCAAAAACTATTTTGGAATCTTTCTAGAGAGAAATGTGTCCTGAGAAAACCTAGAGGGAAGCTGTAAGAAAATATTGGGATTATTTTCTGGCATATTTATTTATATTTTGTTGTTCTGAAATTTGTCTTTTGTGTGATGGATTTTCTATGTTACTGAATTACAGACCATAGCCAGGAAAGTCACAGGAAGAAAAGGCACATGCAGTAGCAGAGCTAAAATCTGCCTGTCATTCCAAATGCTCATCATATTGCAACTGCCTGCTTGCACTGAGAGACCACACAAATGGGTGATGACAAAACATGGAAAACACAGTATCTGTTTTCCGTCTCTGATACGCCTAAAAATACATACATGTACATACTTCTCTCTTTAATCAGAAAAAAAAGTTGCAGAAAGGAAAAAGCAAATTTGGAGCCAATGCTCTGAATTTATGTTCTTAAGACCAGTTTTGGCTTTACTACTATGGTGGTGCATGGAGGCTCCTCACCTCACAAAACCATTTTCTTCATAGAGCAATTTGGCAAAACATTAGTGAACAGAAGATCTTTCTGAGAAATGTTTTGGATTCTATGAATCACCATTTTTCTGATAGCAGGTAATATTTGACCACTGCTAGTCCCTTTAATCTCTCCTGGCTAACACTGCAATAAGCCTTCCTGAGAGGCAAGACAGACAGCGGGAGTTCAAGTCCACGTCAGCGATATCTGGATATCTGGGGTTGCAGGAGCTGACTGTGGCTGCTTGCAGAAGACAGCCTTTCATCATCTTTCAGAAGATGCCAGAAACTATGCAATGAGGTGCTTTTAAGTAAATTCCAATCACTTTTTAGATTGGAATAGGCTCTTTTAGGCCAAATACAAGGTATTATACAACAGCCCCTTGGCAAACCCTCTCAAAAGGCAGAAGCAGCTTCTAATTACACAAGTCTTTAGGAATGGCTTTTCAACCACAAACCAGCCTGTATTCATGTGGTTTGTGTCCTAAACAAGATGATGTGCAGAAAAACATGGCAGCTATGACCAGTGATTTACACTGTCCATTTTCTGCTCAGCTGATGCTCTTTCTGCATACATCCTAATAGTGTCTACTATCTCAAAATATATTGCTCGTATTTCACTTAATATCCACTTTATACCGCTAAAAGGAAATAGGTGAAAATTAAACTGGAATCTCAGTAGACATGTAACTAAACAAAGCTGAATACACTGGCTTAGGAAGTACTCTTCCATTCACTGCTGAACTAAGCTGTACTTACAATTGTTGTCATGGTCTCTTCTGTCACCACCTTCAATGTGTCAACGACTGAAATGTAGCCAAGTCGCTTAGCGATGGCGAGAGCAGTGTTTCCATTCTAGCAATTGAAACATTTATAACAAAAGTTGAATGTTAGCAAGGAAAAGTGTAGAAACTGCTAATTAACCGTAGAAGAACACACACTAAAGGCCAAATAAATGTTTGCATGTCAGCGATTGAAATAAATGTATTTTGGGTAGTAGGATATGTAACTAAGTTTTTAACTCTTTACAGAAATGGGATGAAAATGAAAAGATTTTCAGATGTTTGCTGTTCTAGTTTTGGAAGAGATGATGGCATAGAGGGTGTGGGGACAATGGGGATAGTCTTCCTCTGCTCTTTTCCTCTCCCACCACACACATTTTTTTTCCCCCACATTTCCCTTGCTCAAATGCTTTACGCGGGGTGGGACAACCGAGCCGGAGGGGAAAGCGGTGGCCTCGGGGTGGGCCCCTCTGCACTTACCACCGTGAGCTCGTTGGGCGCAGCGCCGTGCTGGAGCAGGACGTTGATGATGTGGGTGTGCCCCTGCTGCGCAGCCTGGTGCAGCGGCGTGTACCCGTTCTGCAGGCACAGGGAAAGGGAAAGGCTGCAGTGGGCAGGGCGCACAAGCCACCTCCACGGACGAGAGGCAGGCGTGGAACACTCACCTTTGTTTTGGCATTAACTTTTGCAGAATGTTGCAGAAGGAAGTTAACAATTTTTATGTTTCCGTAGTGGCAGCCAACATGCAAAGGAGTGTATCCCATCTAGAGCGAACATAAGCAATTAGTAAATGTGAATATCCCACACGTCCCCTGACAAAAAAAAAACCTCACAGATGTGAAACAGCAAAAATCCTGTTAAGCTTTATTTCTTTGGTCTATGTGAAAAATCCTCCAACCTTGGGAAAAAACCACTCTTCTCATGAATGTCGATTCAAGTTCCATTCTTTGTGACCCTCTCTGAATGCCTTGTATTTCTGTAATCTTCAACACATGCAATGTTGATTAAAGATTTGCCTTCCTCTCCAATGGTCAGGCTATCAGGTCTCTGGGGCAGAGCCCATCATTCTAAATAAATGTGTGTACAATGTCTTGCACAGTGAGATTTGCATGCTTGGTGCTCCTACAGTGTGATAATAAACAAATACGTAAATAAGTAAATAATAACAACTTTCTAAAAATCAGGCATGTTGAGGGCTGCCTTAGCGATGGTGCAATTTGCAGCCCATCCATTCTGACAAACACCCAGAAGGTAAATCTAAAACAATGCAACTGCAACTGATTTGCCAGTTCTGCCAGAACAATATAGTCCTATGGAAACTGGAACACCAGCTGGTGAACTGAGGCTCTAAGACAGAAAGGTCTCATTTTTCATGTATCTGGCCCTGTGTTATGCAAACTGGAAGAAATTGTTTTTTCTTGGCAACTGCAAAGATGACAAAATTGAATGTATCCTTTTTGTCTGTATTATTTATTTTTCATTACTAGTGGACAGATGAAAAATGTTTGTCAACATTGGGACTCCCCCACCAAATGCTGTAAACACAAACTAAATAGCTTTTTATAGTAAAGTGCACACATGTTGAAATTTTTTCTAAAAACAGTACAAGAAGAATATCACTTAAAAACCTCACGAGATTTTAAAAATCTACTCCTGTTTTTTAAAAACTACTCCTGGTAGCAAAGCAGGAGTCACTAGGCTGACTCTGAACTCGCTCACATTAACACCCACATATTTAAAATAAGTCAAACAGCATGTTAAAACCTGTTAATTGTAATAAACACTTTAATCAACAGTTAACATTTAACATACAATGCAACAAAACAAAAAGGACCAATGCTTGCTTTTGCTGCTCTTTTGCTAATCTCTCGGTCCATGAGAACACTGTTAGCAGTTTTGAAAAAGGACTTACTGAGATGCTTAATGCATTAGAAATGATTAGATTATCTTTATTGAAGTAATTATCTTTTCCTGCCTTATCTTCCCTGCAAGACAACACTATCTCTTCTTCCTTAACAAACATAATCAATCTAGAGTTGCACAGAGTACATTCAGGAGGTGGCTACCTTTAAACAGGACACTTGCTATTTTTCTCCATGGCATTGAGAAAGGCCACTTTTCCCCAAACCTTCCCCCCGACTCACACTAATAGCTTGATGGCTTTCCAGCAAATGCTTTACTTAGGTCAGAGAGATGGATTAATGGGCTCCCCCCTCTCTTTGAGGTGAGTCACTGGGATTCCCTTCCCCTTTAACGGTCAGGTTTCACGGGCCCACTTGATGGGCTCCGAGATGCCAAAAGGGTCATCTTAGCCAGTGTTCACATGGGGCTTCATTATTTTGCAAGCAGGATGAAACTACACTGCCAGTGTAATATGTTCTTTTGCCACTCTGTGGGACTTCCAATGCGGTATTGGCTCCATGCGCCATTACCAGTTTTTATGGAAAAATCAATTGCTAGGCTGTAAAAATCGTATTTGTTATGAGGAACACAAATACACTAAACACGTTGTAAAATACACTGCAAATGTGCGTTGCTGTTAATCTACAAGAATCCTGCTTTCAGAAAAAGGGTAAGAGGTGAGGTTGCCCGAGATCATTAATTTCAGTGGCAGAAAGGTCAGTTATAATACATATGGGGAAACATGACCATGATGCACGTCTTGGCTGCTGGTAAAGCCCAAAGCAGCCACAAGGTCAGAAGAAAAATACACTACTTGGGACTGAACAATCTGAAACTGGATCCAAAAGCCAACCTTGTGGATAGAAACACTGAAAGATGGGCTGGTCTTGTATTGATCAGGCTCCTGCTGCTCTCATCAGGAGCATTTGCTGGAAAAGTGTGTTTGCTTTCCTGCTCTGAGAAGAAAAGCCTGGTGCCCAAGAAGTAGAGGCACACAGGGAGTTAAAAGTTGCAGCCTGTCATCCTTCATTTGTACATCCATGTTAGTGAGGTCTAGCCAGGTTAGACAACGTGGTCAAAAGCACTGAGGAGGCAAGTTGAAGGTCAGCCTGGGGTTCAGGAGCCAGCACTACACCACATATTCAAACCATGAGGTCAAAGCTGCTCAGAAGAAAGAAAGGGAAAACCTCAAATGTGAACTATTTCCACTAGAGGGAAGTTTCAAGTATTCATTGGTTTAGACAGACCATTTTCTTCATGTCACTTTGCCTCTGATACTACTTCACACGACGTTACCTGATTTCAGTTGTATTAACACATGCTAGGAGATGGTAGCTGTACCAGTTGCTTTAAATTAAGGTGTGTATTTTTTCTTCAGTTAATTATATACTCTTTGCCATCTAAAGAAACTACTAACTTTGACAACCAGGATGAGTTAATCATTGCAAGAAACAGCACTGGATCCAAATTCCATTGGCATCAGCAGAATGAAACTTTCCATTGACTTACATGAACATTGGATCAGATGCAAATGACTGCAAGGAACTTTTCCTGCAGGATACTTGCACGTGGTGGTAAAAGCCCAAGTACTAGCTAAAATGTAATCATGAACTGAATGCTGGGACCTCATCTTACAGTTACTATTAGTTTAGGGTTGACCTAATAGCTTCCTAGCAGTGCCTGGGGTCTGAGTCTCACTGTGCTCCCTAAGCTGGCCAAGAGTCTTGAGTCTTCAGCAGAATGCTGAGCATAGTCACAGCCACGTACCTCAAATGCAGGTTCTGCAGCCCCTGCTCCTACACGTCCAAAGATAAACTCAGATTAAAACATGGCCAAACTAGCAAAACATCAGTTAAAAAAAAAATCTGCTGTGAATCTTTCTCATACAAGAACTTAATTCCCTTCTCACCCTTCAAAATACAGGCCTCTTAACATGACCTGCAAGGTCAAAAAAAAAAAAAAAAAAAAAATCAGACATAAAACCAACTGGGGAGATGAAATCCAAAGTCAAGGGCCACCTGCTGGGAACCCCCTGCTAATAGCCCTAAAATATTAAAATCTAGAGAGTATCAGAGAGCCAAGCCCAACTGATTCCAACTTTCCCTTTGAAGTGGTCTGTAAAGACTCCTCTCTCCACTCTGTAACAACGAATATTGAAGAAGGAGCTATCAAACCCCTGATGTTTACTGCAGTACAACATCAATTTCCTTCTACAAATGGTATATACAAAGATTTACATGTGGTACTTTCATAAATGGCTAGAGGAGTAATTATTGATGCTCTTTGTCACTCCTGACCAGCCTGATGTTTAAATCAGACACTAAGTGAAAACTTTTCCTCTTTCCCCTCCAAATGCATGGTAGTAATCATGACATTTCCATGGTGACATGGTCACTATTCTCCCCGCTCCAGTTGTTGGTGTCCCAGAGCTTTAGCTGAAGGAGGCTCCCTCTGAAGCTCTCAGTAGTGCTGGCCTGGTCAGGTATGGCAGCTGGAGGCACATGCACTGAAAGGCAGCTTCTCTGCTGCAGGCATCACGCGTGTCCTGAGCAGTCACGTAGGCACCTGCTAGCCTCGTGGCAAAATACCAGTTTCCTGTCTGAACTCCCTGGAGGGACGTGGAAGCTTTCTTTTAAGTTTGCCATACCCTGTGGTCATCTCATGTCACGTCGTGTTTGATGAGGCAGTGCCTAATGCAGCACACAGTCACTGAGAGCAGAGTGACAGAGATCTGACATGGCGGGTCACATCTCGCTGGGCATATTAGACCTCATCAGTCACCAGAGGACATCTTTCCTGTTTATAGTCAGCAACATTTGTAGTGAAGGCACTGGTCAAAATAAAACTAATTAGCAAAATGCCCTTTTAATGCCGGAGACTCAGAAAGGATATCCTTTGCTTCTCAGCTACAGTACAGATTCCTGCATTCAACTATTTCTAGCTCAGGAAGGTGTAACATTTATATTTATATCCCAACATCCTCATGGAAAACAGATATTCTGTTAACTTTTCTGAAACACTTAAACTGACAGATTCTGCAATTACACAACCAAATTAACCATAAAACTAGTAATTCTCATGGCTACCTGAGCTTGCTACTTTCATTCTCTCTAGAAATGTGCCCAGGAGGGTAAAATATTTTGCTTCAGATAGCTATTAACAATTAAAAAAAAACCAAACCCACACAAACAAACCAACAACCAAACCAACCCAGCCCTACAATTATACACATTTCTGCACAGCACTTTAGGTTCAGAGTTATATTTACTGGCAAAGCACCAAGGCACTTAGTAGGCATCCTAATATTAAAAAAGTTACTTCCAAGACAATCAGGGCTTCTGTTTAATACAGCTCTAATGCACATCACCTTCTGGCAGTCAGCTGCCATGCTGCTTCTAGCTGTCTTAAAGAATGAGCAGCAATATGGGAGTTAGCACCTGGGAAGGGCTTATCAAAAGCCATAAGAATAAGTGCCAAAAAAAAAAAATCAAATTGAGCTTTTCAATTCTAATGGAACACACAAACACAAAGCATCCCTTATTCTCTTGCCCTTCCATTTTTTTTGAGGGAAATTATCACAAGCCTTGTATATCATGTCAGTGAATTACTTTAATATCCTCCACTGGCAATAACCATAAATCTTAACAGCTTGAATTACTGCATCTTTCTAGTCATTCTGACTCTCAAGCTGCTCTGTTTTTGGTTTTTTGCTGTAAATGTCAGACAATGAAGCTACAATATTGTTGTTGATAAGGCTAGAAAGTGCTCTAGATCACAAAGGCATCCAGCCTTGATCGAATGAAATGGGCAAATCTTTATGTACATACACGCCTCACTGCTTTGCCAAATCAGGGCCTAACAT